GAAGGGCAGTCACCGAGGTTTCAGCATTTGTGATTTGGCTGGGGGCGGTGGGTAAGTGGACTCAGGGGAGAGTGTAGAGGGAAAAGAGAGAGAACAGTCAGATGTTATAATTCAAGAAGTCATGCATGTATTATATGTCAATTAAAAACAAAATTTTTAAAGTAAAAAAATTTTTAAACAGAAGTTACGGTTATAGATGGTAGAGATTTACATGCACAACTGAGTTTTATAAGTCAATATCATTTGAAGAAATCGATGTAATTCTACAAATTGGATTTTTCTAAGTTTGTACACAAATTATTCAAATAATCTGCACATATCACTGCCATTATTGTTTTTAAAATATGCCTTAAAAGGATCCCCTTACAAGATCCCTCTCTATAAGAACAGGATGTGCAATACATAAAACAGAAGGCAATGGAGCCGTCATTCAAACATCTGCTCAGACCTTCCTTACCGCTCCAGTGAATAGAAACCATGTCATACTGATTCCTAGAGGGCTAAGAAGGGGAGAAGGGAGGGGAAGGGGGAGGTGGGGAGAGAGGAGTCCATGTCACTTCTGCAAACAACAGAACTCAACAAAAGCAAAGAGGTAGGCAAAGGGAAGAAAAGCAAGACAAAGCCTGTTCTGTTGCCTGCCGCATGCTTGAGGAAATAAGCCAGCCTCCCTTCACCCCACCACCCCACCATTCTCCCACTCCCTCACCCCTCCCCGAGCTGCCTCCACAAGGGTGGCTGTGTGAAAAGTGCCTCCTCACTGACCAGATCTGCCATTCCAACTATCCGCACTCGTGACTTTCTTTTTGATGCAAACATTTGTAACCTCTGTTTTGCTTTCTCCCTTCACAGTTTCTTCATACACATGATGTCTTAATACATCGGGTGATCTCTCAATTCCATTTCTTCCACCCCGTTTCTTCTGTTTCTTCTACAAACTCTTTGAGGTGCCTTCCATAGTATCCCAAAGTGAATTTTGTGAATGCTACACAGCTTATAATTTTATTCAGAATTCAGAACATCCCAAACATGTTCCCCATGTCTGGAGAAAAAAAATCACTTAATGTTTTTGTGTAAGGGGGGAAAACAGGCACAAAGATAGAAATATTATTTTTATATACATAGTTCAACTGGAGCAAATGGTGGCCTCACCATTGTAAAGGGCTTAATAGTTTATGGAATAGTTTCAGGAATATAGTTTTATTTCATTCCTCAAGTCATTGCTCTTCCTAACCCTTCGACAGCCCTCACCCACAACCACAGCTTAAAACACTTTAATGATTTTCCATTCCTCTTGGTATAAAGACTGAAATCTTTATCATGCCATCTAATCTCTGGCTCTAACTTTATCTCACAACACCCTGTCTCACTGCCCTCTGCACTCTGGCCCCACACACCTTCTATGAGTTCTTCAAATGGACCATGCTTCTCCATCTCTGTTCTTTTCCAAGCCTTACCTGCATTGCATTTTGCCAGTTAATTCCTACTCTTCCTCCAGTTTTCAGCTCCATTGTCCATTCTTCGGAAAATCTTTCCAAATCTCTCTGGCAAGGTCAAATTCCTTTAAGATAGCTCTACATACCTTCCTTTCCCAGTACCTAACTCAAATATAATTTAATTATGTAATTAGATAAATCTTTGCACTTAACCCAATTATTAATACAATTTTACGTGTATGGTAGGACTATCTGAGTGTCTTCTGTTCCCATCAGTAGACTGTAAGTCCCATAAGGGCGGCAACTTTGTCTACTTTTGCTCATCAGTGTATCCCTAATACTAGCTCAGTTCATGACACACATATTCCACCGACATTTAATAAATGAATGAATGAATAATATCTGTGAGGAGACAAGATCTTATATCCATGTTTGAGAAACGTGGAAACAGTCTCAAAGAGTTTAAGGGGTTTGTTCAGGGAGCACAAACATATGTATTGAACTCAAAGGTACTTGATTGCTGATCTCAAGGCTAGGGAACTCATCATTCCAAGGGCTGGGAAGTACTGCATGGTAATAGCAGGTGCCTAGTGCAGACTTGTTGAATGAAGAAATGAAAACAAAAATGAAAGGAAGGAATGAATTATAAACTCCAAAATGATTTTCATTGAGAAAATGATAGTCTTAGCTGTGGCAATGGGAAGATCACATCACCTTTCTAGGCCTCTGTTCCCCAGCTCAAGGTTGAACTAGATGATCTCCATGCTCTGCAATTCTGAGTTTCTCTGCTTCCAAACTCCTCACACCTTGGGATTCTGTCTAACAGCAGGCACCTACATATGGTGGCTGAGTTACTTAGCAGCCCAGATTTGACTTTATGTTTTAGATCATTTTTAATGTATTCAGAGAGCAATTACACTATGCAACAAGAGGCAATTGCAGGAGCAATTACATCAAAGATAACATATGGCAGCTATGGAAACAATGGAAAGTTATTACAGGGTGTTAAGCACAGCAGATGGAAAAGCTTTGCTGTAACCTTGACAGTTGACCCTGGAACTTCCAGATACGCAATATAATTATATGTAAAGAAGCGAAGAATATCTGGTCAGAAAAATCATATTTTTGAGTTTTCTGTTCCCATCGTTAAATGACTCAGAAACTAATAAAAGGGAATCGTGAATGGCCTCAGTCATTTAGTCAAAAGTGAAATAAAAACAATAAAGGAAAAGCCACCTTCTCCTCCCAACAAATTTGGGATTCTCAGTCTAACTAGTCAAGAGATGTAAGCTCTTATCCTGACTGATTGAATTCCCCACTAGCATGCTCCACAATCTAGAGCTAGCTTACCTTACCTCTCACCCACTCCCTGACCTGGCCCACACTCTGACCTCACAACTCACTGTTTTTCATGACTCCTCCTTCAAGGTCCAGCTCAAATGGAATTTTCTCTTGGAAGCTTTGCACAATGCTTTCAAAAAGAACCCAGGGTGGCTCATGCCTGTAATCCTAGCATTCTGGGAGGCCAAGGTGGATCGCTCAAGGTCAGGAGTTCAAGACCAGCCTGAGCAAGAGCGAGACCCCGTCTCTACTAAAAAATAGAAAGAAATGATCTGGACAACTAAAAATATATATATAGAAAAAAAAAATTAGCCGGGCATGGTGGCACATGCCTGTAGTCCCAGCTACTCGCAAGGCTGAGGCAGAAGGATTGCTTGAGCCCAGGAGTTTGAGGTTGCTGTCAGCGAGGCTGACGCCACGGCACTCACTCTAGCCCGGGCAACAAAGCAAGACTCTGTCTCAAAGAAAGAACCTAGGGCTACCGCCTCCAAACTCCCACAGCACTTATTCACTCCCACCTGATAGTGCTGTTGATCATCTCATTTATGTCATGGTTACCTGTCTGTGTCTATCTCCTGTCCCAACCACCCCACTAGCCTATGAGACTCTTCAAGATAGAGACCATGCCTTATTCAGTATAATGCACCCCGAGCACACAGTTGCATGCCTGACATTTAGAAAACATGTTGAGTTAAATGCTAGACAGCAACTAATCAATAGATGAATTTACTGGAATGGAAGAATAAGTCCTACTATATCAGCCCATATAGCAAATTTTATCAGGGAGTTTTCAGTGACCCTGCTTCAAACCCAAAAGAGTAACTCCAATGCTAAGAATTTTAAGCACTCTGGCATGCCAATAATGAAGTTCTTTAGAAGTGGTAGAATCTTATTCTATTCCTTACCTTTTAGCTAAAATGAATAAACTCTTTTTCTATGCCAGACACAGACCTATAGGTCTGCCTGCATTATCTCATTTAATCCTCAAACAACCCCATGAGGGGTTATTATTTCCATTTTCAAATAGGATAGTTGAGGTCTAAGTAGATGAGTTACTTTCCCCAGGCCACAGGGTTAGTAAGTGGCAAGCAGGGCTGAGATTTGAACCCAAGTCAATCTCACTCCAAAACCTGAATTACTTATCACCATGTTGTTCTCCATCTAGTTTCAGGGCCAACACTGATGTGTGAATTGTGAATCATGGTGTCTAATGTTTTTCTTCACTACTTTATTACTTTCAATTTACTGTTAATTTTATCCACATAGAATCTTTCACTTAGGTATTTCATAAATCTACTTGGCAGACCTTTCATCACTTTTATCACACTTATTATTGACATTTTAAAGGCTGAGTTTATCCCACAGTATGCTCAAAAATGTTTAGGGATAGGATAACAGAGAGACGGAGTAGTCACACAACTCTCCAAATTCACATAGCTAATAAGGGTGAGAGCTCAGTGTGAACCCAAGCTATGTGACTCCAGCACCCAAGTGCTATCCTACACTCCCTTAGGGCATCTCTGTATCACCTGTAAGTCCACAGGTCAAGGTGTCTGGCACTACATTACCCATCCAGTCAATTTCTGAGTCAGTCCAATCACAGTGACCAAAATCACATATGAATGCAAATGCCTTCTTTCCAAATAAAACAAAATCCATGTTTTCCTGTGTCTGCCAGGTAATGGTGCTAAAATCTGTGCCAAGCTGTAATTTTACCTCATCCTCTTCCTTTAGGTGGTCTCAGTCCACTTTTATCCCTAATCAGCATGTCCTGCATTGGACCTAATCCTTTTAAGAAAACACATGTAAATAACCTCAAATCCATAATTACTTACCTGGTTGATCAGATTGTTTTCTCATTTTACCAGGAGATAACTGTCCGCCATCGTAGAAGTGCTACATATGAGAGCTTGACAAAATAATAAGTGCTAACGTTTACTGAGTTTTTATATCATATGCCAGATGCTGTGCTGAGCTGGCTCTGCACTTATGTCATCCCTCTATAACCTGATTTACAGGTAAAGAACTAAGCCCTGAAAGGCTGAGAGCCCTGCCCAACGCCCATGGCTGCATTCCAGTTGTATTTGACTCCAGAGTCTGGACTCTAAACCACACAACTTATTCTCAGTATCTGTTGGCACTACTCTAGGCTCTTTTTTCCCCCTTTATTTAAGAAAAGCTACCCAGACAGAATTTTTTTTCCAAAAAAAAAAAGAAATAGAGTACCTGAGAAGGCCCAAGTCGTCTCCATTCAAATCTACCATTTTCAAGACTACCATTTCCTTGTCTGTATTTGAAGAATACCTAGTCAGCAAAACAAAGAAACTTAGTTCTATGTTAGAGTCTGACCCTCAAGTATGACAAACAGCAGAAGCTGACACAAAAACACCTCTGGGTTAGCGAGGCACCCTGACAAGCAGTAGTCCTAGGAACTGCACCCAGAACCTCATTCCTAAGCTGAGGAGATGATTTAAAGTTGTGATCAAAGTTTGGGGCACTAAATCAACTACCTGGAGCTAAAATGTATATCTTTATGTAAAATATATATAATATTATATAACACATATGTATTTCTTATAAAAACGCTTTGTCTTTGAAATTTCTACTCATATCAAATTTTAATGGAATTTCTTAAAAAGAGCAGGGAATATGCAAAATCAAAAATATTCAAGACCCACAACTTAAGTGTTCTTTTATGTCTTTTCAAAGTAAAACAGATTATATTTTCTAAAAATCAACACCTTTGAAAGCTATTGAAAAATATGCAGACAAATGTAAAATGTCAAATGGGCAAGTTAAATTATTTTATACTGCTATAGTAACCAAGTACTTCTGTCACAAACCTAGTTAGTGACTTAAAAAAAGATTTTAAAAAAGAAGACAAAATAATCATCTCCCTTAGTTGTTCCATTCAATTATGTGGGTTTCATTTCTTACTCTTCCGTCTGTTGTTTATTTTTTTATTTTTTCTGTCTTTCCATTCTCTCGTGGACTAAGATCATTTCTTCTGCATAACACATAAAAGAGCTATTCATTAAATTTAAAAAAATGTGTTATGTACATTTTTATCTCCATTTTACCAATAAAAAAGCTGAGAGCCAATAAATTAAGGTAAGTAAATCACTAAAGGTCACATGACTAGGAAGTGATAAAATGAAGATGAGAGCACCGTTGTGCCTGATACCAAAGCCCAGGGTCCTTCAGATATCTACCTTGGCTCCCATACCCAACAAAGTGGAAAGATACAGTCACTTTTTGTTTCTACTTGTCTTAGGGTATAAGCACGTTTTCAAAATAGTTTAGCTTTAATATTCTCCTAGGATCTCATCACATTCATCAAGTAACAACCCTGTACTTAGATTTCTGTTGCTATTCCCTAAAGGAAACACGATTCCTTCTCACCTTGCTCTCTCTGATTGAGGATTCTGAAGGTAAGAATAAGGGCTTCGGTTGATCTGCGCACCATCCACATTTCCTTTATTGATGAAGATTTTGCCTGGTTTCATATTTGTGTGTGCTATCTCAATGCTCTGAAGGTTAAAAAAAAAAAAAAAAGAGTCATAAGCTTAGAAATCCTGGTGGGGATAATGACTTAGTCAATATAAACAGAAGAGCCCTGTGGACAACTTCCTTTGTCTCTAACATGTGGGCACAATGGGACAAAAGCTGGAGAACCACATGGCTGGTGCCATTCAGGAGGCAAACAGAAATGGCTCTCAAGGTTGAGACAGAGGAAATGCTATTATGCACATGCACCGCCTGAGCTGACAACGAGCCCCACCTCCTTGTCTCTCGAGACTGCGAAGTCAGGCAGAAGCTGCCATTTCAGACGACCAAAATGGGAGACTTGACTTTTACCACTACACTAGAACATGATTGGTTAACATGTGAGTGTTCCCACTTCCCTCCCCTCTCCATCCCACCACCCTCTAAGGCAGAGTTTTTCCAACCTTTTTTACTAAGAGCCATAGTGAGAGATACAGTTTTCATCATAACTTAAGACACATCAACATATACATTCTAAAACAAAAGTTCATAAAGCAAACTATACCCTTACTATGTGTTGTGCACTATGATAGTTTACAATTGATTTTATTAGAGGTCTTTTTTTATTTAATGCTTTTTGTGACCCATGAAATTGATTTCATAAGCCATTAATACATTGCAAGCCACAGTTTAAAAAAACTCTGTTGTAAAGAAATTTGCCTTTGCCAGCTGGATCCCTGAATTTTGGGGGTGACTTTGTGAGAAAAAAATGGAGAAAGAATAAACCTGGAAGGCAACAAAATGAAGACAAATATTAGCAAGGATTCTATGCAGGAAAATAGTAATCTGGAAGACAGGAGGGAGGAGACTGCAAGCTACCCGCACCAGGAATGGGAGAGAAGTTTGAGGGTATTTGCTAGGAGCACCAGGGAGGTCTGGAGCTGCTATAGAGGACTTGAGAAATGAGGGTGTATGTGTATAAAGTAGATCCTCTTTGCTCTTCAGGATATACCAAAAAAAAAAAAAAAAAAGAATTAGAATTATTTGTAATTACATTTGACGCCTTGATGGGTTCCTTCTTGTGTGACTTTGTGCAGAGAACAGACCATGAGGGGCCCTGTAGTTTATGAGGAACCCCAAAGCAAAATGTTTTCTGTCTCTTTAGATGACTCTATGGGGCTTACTGCCATAGAACCCTCCTCTTCCAATCAATCAGTGCCTCAGGCCTCACAGCCCATATCAGGACCAGAAGCTCAAAAAGAGTCAGGGAGGAGAAAGAAAGGAAAGTGCCAAGACTGTGCTCAGCCCAAATCCTATAGAGACCCTCCATAGCACACAAACCACTCCCCAAACCCCTGTAAGCCATGGGAACGAACAGCTGCCTCTGGGGCTTTCTGCCTACCTTCATGATACCAGTGACCATGTACTCAAAAGTTCGATTGCTAAATCCTTCACTGGCAATGACAAAGACAGTGTACTGGAAATATCCTGCTGGACCCGAGTGTGTGTGAGTGCCACTCAGGATGACGTTGTCTCTTCTGTACAGGGAGCCGTATTTACTCTGTAGTCTGTCCAGGACCTTCAAAAAAAATCAAACCAAGATAAGGGATAACATAGGAGCTCAGCATGAGAACAGGCTCTGATGAGTGCAATCACTGATCTGTACCAATGACATCCCTTTCCAGTGGCCCTTCACTCTGTGTTGGAGTATATCATCATAGTAACAACAACAAAATAATGATAGCAATGCTAACATTTTATAGATTCTTGCTATGTGCTAGCACAACACTAGGCATGTTATATACGTTATGTCATTTAAAAATCTTTATAACAACATCAAGAGATAGGTATTGCTAACCTCATTTTTCAGCTGAGAATATTGAAGTGTACAGAAGTTAAATAATTTGCCCGTTAATCTAATAAGTAGCAGAACCAGACTCCAGATCCAAGTCTCTCAAATCACAGAACCAGTACTCTTCCTTGTTCATCATTCACCCATTGTATTAATATTCAGACACATGCTAAGCACAAGGAGTATATGAAGCTCTTACCCTGAAGATTTCTGTATTCTAATGAAGGAGAAAGATAATAAACAAATAAATATATAATATTAAATCACATAGCAGTAAATACTATGAAGAAAAACATTGCTGGGTAAGGAAAAAGAGAGTGATGGGTGTTAGTGAGTCACGAGTTTTTTGAAGAGGGGCTGTCTTTCAGCAGAGGCTTAAATGAATAAAGCAAGCTGGTTGTGCAATATCTGAGGGAAAAGCATCCCAGGCATGGTGAATAGACAATGCAAAGGCCTCTTAGCTATTCTATTGCCTCACTTCCCAAGATAAAGAATTTGATATTCCCTGAAACAGACTCTTACGCTTATTAGTCTAAGGAAAGCCATTCATTATGATGGAAGAACACCCCAGTAATGTGGATGAGAACCATCTTGTGAGCACTAACTTGCTAGCCATGTGGGTGAGCAACCTAAGAAGGAGATTCTCCAGCCTCAGTCAAGCCTTGAAACAACTGCAGCCCTAGCCAACGTCTGAGTGCCATGTCACGACACAGAAATGATGATGTATGGCTCCTGTTGTAAAACAAGTCAGAATTGCAGAACCCAGCCACTCTGGGATTCCTGACCCACAGAAAACATGAGCAACGATACATGATTATTGTTACTTTAAGCCATTAAGTTTTTGGATGATTTTTCCTACAGCAGTAAATGTTCATTGAATTAGTGAATCAATGAATATCCAAATTCACGGCTAGTGTCTTTGTATAGTGCACACACATCAAGAAAGTAACAGAGAGAAAATTAATGATGTTGCTGAGGACCTGTTTTGGATTATGCTTTAATTAGATGCAACCTGAAGTTTGGTATTATTGTGGCTTGTTTGTGAAAGATCATTAAAATGAACCAGCAAAAATGCCAAATCCAAAGCAATCATTGCAATGTTCACCTGGAGTATGGCATAAACAGTCATTGATCACTATCTCTCTGAAGGAAAAAAAAAAGCCCTCATTTGTATTGTTTGCCAACTTCTGTGGTGTAAATACCCACCCCATGTTCAATTTCAAGCTACCAAAAGCTTAACAGCCATTCGCAACATTCCTGAATATCTAACAATGAGCTCTCATGAGCTGGCACAAGCCAGTTCCAGCACACCACTGGGACATCGGGGAATAGCAGCTTATGTGCTATGTACTTAACATACATAAAGATAATCATTGAACCTCTTCTATTTTAGCTGAAGAGCTACACCACCCTCATTCCAGTCATGTGGTCATTGAAGCAGGAAGAAGATTTTGCAAACCGTCTTGCCTTATTACCCCCTCCATGCCCCAGAGACTGACTGTTAGGTTACCATCCCACACCAAACAATCCTGTGATACAAGGAGAATATGGAAGGAGAATATGATATAATCGGACTAACATCTCTCTGTGTCCATTTGGTCCTAACTCCAGCCCCCAAAGCCTCATCACTTCCACCTCTTCTTCCACACAGTAACTACCACACTCACGAAGGAGAAATGCGTATAAAGAGAAGGGGAAATGATCAGTGAAGGGACACCATGAAAACTGAACTAAAGTCAAAAGCTGATGTTCTTACAATTCTGCAACTAAGATAGGAAGGTAGTGGAGAAAAAGAACTGCAAATCAACTTTAAAGCTCCCCTAACCGCCCCCCCAATTTTATTCCTAAAGAACCATAACATGAGGATTTTAGAATTAAATGCATTTCTTCGTGTCTATTCAACAATCAAGTTCTTAAAAAGACAGTAATTATGAGTCTTGAATTTTTTAAACAACAAAAAGACTATAAACAGCACACATAAATTTTATTTTAAATCACAATCTCTGATAGGAAACCAGACACATGAGACTTCTAGGAAAAAGAAAAGAAAAAGAAATTAAAACCCCAATCATGTAACAATGCCTGCAAATAGGCATTATAAATAGCATGTTTACCACTTCATGGAAGGAGGGATATTTTAAGACAGAACAAAGCAGTTACATTAATGTCTATAGCTCAGTTCTTTGTCTTCTGTTTCCATTCCATTTCCTGTTGCTGACACTCCTGGGAGCATGACACAGAGAGAGTTAGAAAGTCATTCTGTTTTCCTGCCCTGCTTCACTGCACAGAGCTCTTCCCTAATCTTCATTAGATGCTGGAATTTCATCAATCCTAAAGCTGAGTCTGAGAACCTACATAAAACCAGGTGTTATAAATAAGCTTAATGTCACTTATTTAGCTGCATTTATTTTTCATACCTTCCCTTGGGTGAACTTGGGATAACTAAGTGGGTTCATTCAAACTCTTTCCCACTGGGCCTCAGATTACACGGGGAAGTGAAACTAGGAAGAGACAGTTAAGTGGTGCCCACTATGGCCTTGATATCATCAACAAACCAACACATTAAACTCCTCTCCTGTCTCTACTCCACCCCCAAAGTCCACCTTTTGACTCTTCGATTTCTGCTAATGACCCTACAATGGTAGGGTCCTAACCAGAACCATCTCTGATTCCTCAGAAAAGCAGTGTAGTGCAGTAATAATGAGCATGGACTCTGGCATGAAAGTACTTACTTAAGTTTGAATACCAGCTCTGACAGTACCTAGTTGTGCAACCTTGGATAAGTGACTTGGTCCTCTGAAACTTGGTTTCCCAAGCTCTCAAATGACATGATAATAGTACTTTCCTCATAGAGTTGCTTGAAGGATTAAATAAGTTAATATTAATATATATAAGGTACTTGGAACAGTGCCTGGCACATCATGAGTACTATGTGTTAGCTTTTATGTCTATTCATCTGCAAATCTCATTAGCATTTAATTTCATCTCCTATCCCCATGTAGCCTCCCTGCCATCCCATTAAGACCTTAGTGCCAGCCTCACATCATACAGGGGAAATTGTCAGGCAAAGTAAAAAAAACACTTCTGGCAAACTTAGCTTCCCTGTTTTGTTCTTTCAGCCTTCCAAAACCTTGTAAAATTCCCCTGTATAAAATCCCCTCTGTTTGAAATACCTGGTAGGATTACTGCTTTCCTGACTAACCCTCACCAATAAAGCCTCAATATCAATTTAAAGAACCTGCTAACTTGTGTCCTCACCTCTAGTTCCCCTCTATTCCAATCTATATCAAGCATCACTGTCTGATTAACCATCCTAAAACAAAACTGTGTTTATATCACTCCACCACTAGAAAGTTTTCTAAGACTCCACATCACTCACAGAATCAAAAAACAATTATGACCAACACACCTTCCAGGTACATCTCCAGCTCTGCCTCTGTATGTCCAAATAGAACTCCTCTGTTCCCTCAAAACAGAGTCTACATCCCTCCCTTCCACTTCTCTGGGTTCATGCTGTTCCCTCCATCTGATCTCTCTCCCTCCCCATTTCAACCAGTCAAAATTCTGCTCACTCGAGTGTTGTTTCCTCTGTGAAAATGTTTTCCTAATTTCCACTTCCTGAATCCCCTTGCAATGGTCTTAAAAGACTATATGTCCACAAATTCTCCGGCACTGCTCCCTTCAAGAGGTAAAGCTTAAACGTCCACCCTTGAATGTGAGCTGGACTCAGTGACTTGCTTAATGAATAGAACAGGGTGAAAGTAATGGTGTGTAACTTTGGAACCTGGGTCATAAGGCACTGTGATTTCCTCCTTGCTCATTATCTTGGCCACCTACTCTGAGGGAATCCAGCTGCTACGTCATGAGAATAGAAAGAGGGAGGAACTGAGACCTTCTGCCAACAGCCATGTTGCATGAACCATCTTGGAAGTTGATCTTCCAGTCAAGTCAAGCCTTCAGATGGCTGCATTCTAGCTGCAAGACAACCTAAGCCACCCAGCCAAGCCAATCCTGAATTCCTGACCCACAGACCATGTGAGATACTAAGGGTTTGTTGTTTTAGGCTACTATATTTGGGGATAATTTCTTACACAGTAATAGATTATTAATACACCATTGTACTTTACTCCAGTGAATGACAGCTGTCTGTGAAATTCTGTTCTAGGCCTTTCTTCTATCCACCAACTAGATAATGACTTTATGGAGACATGGACTGTGACTCACTTAGCTATGTGTCCTCTGAAGTGACTAGAAAAGTACCTTACAAAAAGCAGGTGGTCAATACATTTTTCCCTCTAAGAATAGAATAATGTCACTTTTAAGAATGTGGGCTCTGGGATTCAACATACCTGAGTTCAGAATGCAGCTCTACCATTTGCTAACTGTGTGAATGTTGGAAAGTTACTTACCTTCTCTAAGACTCAGTTTCCTCATCCATAAAATGGGGGTAACGGAGCCATCTCCTAGTTTTGTTGTAATTGTAATCGCAGGAGTGGGGAAGACACTTAATCTCCTGCTCCTCATTCTCCACAGATGGGAGAGGCTTCTATTCCACTCCACTCCCCAAGAGGAAGAGATGTTGGAGTGATGCCTCTGGGCCACCTCGTCACCCCTCACACTGGCTTCTTCACACAGCGGAAGGAGCAAAGTATTTAATAGGTGAGGCTGACAGAACCTGACATTGCATGATTGACACTTCCGGTCATTGTTTCAGTCACTGCTCCAGCCTCTCCTCTTTCTCACATTCGGGAATACGTGAGTAGACATTAACAGAGAACATTCTGCCTTTGTGACTTTAACCCATGCAGAAAATATAACTGGGTCAGCGCTTAGAAATTGGCTTAGAGAGAGAGAATTGGAAATCCATGTCTATCACTCTATTTTTCTCTTCTCCTCCCCTTCCTCCTCTTCCTCCTCCTCTTCTCTCTCTCCCTCTTTCCCCCTCCCATTCTCTCCTCCACCTCCCCCTCCCTCTCTTTCTCTTTCTCTTCCTGTTAAGGCCTCAGGCAGCCCAGGACCCTCCGGGCACCTTTCTGCTAAGTTCAACTGTCTCCATAGGTGGGTAACAAGATCTAAATTCAGGGAAAATCATAGAAAAGCCTACCATTTTTTACAATACGGTTTAACTATTAAGAGAGCTGATGTTACATTCTTTTTAAATTTTTGTTGCAGAAATTTTTAAACCCATACAAAAACAATGAGGGTAATATAATGAACCCCCATGTGCCTAACACCCAGCTTGTACAATTAGCAATTCATGGTCAACCTCATGTCAGGGCTGCATTTTAATTGTCATCTGATGCCTTGCATCTATTCTCAATTGTCTGAGAACTTGACAGAGGGGTTAGTGGTTTATTGACTCTCTCCAGCTTCTAACAAGGAGGATTAAATGAGAGAATATATTGAAAGTCACCTGGAACATAATAAGCTTTCAAAAAAACATTAGCATTAATAATGATGATGAGCCATCAGCAGAACTGAAAGCAAGTTTGGACCAAGATAACTTAGACTGAAATAGTAAGGATCATTCTTGTAACATTGTCTGCCAGTGTGTCAAGAACTTATAATGCTAAAGGTAGTAGAAACCTACTGGATGAGAAACCAGGAGGGCTTAGTTTCTGTCACATTCACCCACAGACTTTCCTTTAGACTGTGTAATTTCTTTCTCCCCTCAATCACTTACCTCCAGCCTGAGCCTTTGGGATACCATGCCTATGTCGATGCTGACAAACAATATTCGATTTGACCCATCAGGTTCTGCCATGATGAAAGCACGACTGTATAGCCTCGTGAGGATGCCCTGTGCATTCTGGCCACTTTTACCATAGCCCATCTAAAAAGGAAGAGAGAGTCAGAGCCATTCTGTCTCACTCCCCTGCTCCCAGAAACCAGGCACAAACCCATAAGTATAGACTGCTTCAGACAACCCCATTAAAAAGTGGGCAAAGGACATGAACACAAACTTTTCAAAAGAAGATAGACTAGCTGCCAACAAACATATGAAAACATGTTCAACATCTCCAATCATCAGAGAAATGCAAATCAAAACCACAATGAGATGTCACTTAACTCCAGTGAGAATGGCTTTTGTCAAAAAATACCGAAACGACAAATATTGGCATGGATGTGGAGAGATAGGAACACTCATACACTGCTGATGGGACTGCAAACTAGTACAACCTCTGTGGAAAGTAATGGAGATACCTCAAAAAGCTAAAAGTAAGACTACCATTCGATCCAGCAATTCCACTACTAGGCATCTATCCAAAGGAAAAAAAGACATTCTATAATAAAGACATCTTCACTTGAATGTTTATAGCAGCACAATTCACAATTGCAAAGATGTGGAAACAACCCAAGTGCCCATCAATACCTGAGTTGATTAATAAAATGTGGTGTATGTATACCATGGAGTTCTACTCAGCCACTGGTGATCTAGCACCTCTTGTATTATCCTAGTTGGAGCTGGAGCCCATTCTACTAAGTGAAGTATCACAAGAATGAAAACACAAGCCCCACATGTACTCACCATCAAATTGCTATTAACACTTATGTACACATATGGAAGTTACATTCATCGGTGTCAGACAGATGGGAGTGGGGAGGAGAGGATGGCTATATACACACCTAATGAGTGCAGTGAGCACTGTCTGGGACATGGGCACGCTTGTAGCTCTGACTGGGGCAGTGCAAAGGCAATATATGTAACTTAAACATTTGTACCCCCATAATATGCTGAAATAAAATAATGATAATAATTTTAAAAAGAACAGACTGCTTCAGAAAGACAAAGAAAAGAAAATCCATATGACACTATGGCTCTGAGTGAGATAATATATGTGTTTTCAAGAATTAAAAAAAAGAAGAAAAAGAAAGCCAAAAGCATAAAAGAGGCTTTAATCTTCTGTGCAGAAAACTGTAAAGGCAAAGTATCGATCATGCTGTCAGAAGCTATTCCCTGGCCCATGGACAAGGAAGGAGCTGGTGTGGCTCTGGAACCCCATTACTATACCAGAGACCTTTCGAGACCTTTCTGGTTTCTGGAATGAAATCCTTTCTCCTGCTGTCTAAGGTACTGGAGAAGAAAATATTTCCCCTACCTCCACCCCACATTGCCCAGGAACATTCTGAGAATTGAAGGCCTTCTCAGGTTGGCTGTTTAGTGTGTGGTTGTGTTTTCTGAAGAAAATGGTGTCTTTATAATTAAGTAATCTCTACTGAGGGTATCTCACCCTGGCTTTCACCGTAGTATCACTCCCTAAGCCAAGTCAGACCACTGCCCTTATCCCAAGCCCCTTCTCTTGCTGTGTCATAAAACCCTCCCACAAAAACGACACCCGGGTATTGAGACTGGCCCCTCTATTGTTTGCATGACCCCTCCTGAGAGTGTCCATTCAGGGTTCACAGGGTGTCCAGGGTCACTGAACAAGCAGCTGGAAATAATTCCTAGAATCTAAAGATTATTTGGCAGGACAGAGCGAATTCCATCAGACAACTTCATGCTCTGGTTTCCTAGGGAAGGGTCGACATAAATGGATATTTCCACTGTCATAGCCAAGAAGTTGCCATAGCAGTCAATAGGCCACACCTGACACATAGATGTGTTTTATTTGGCTTACACAATGTTGGTCCATACTAGGTTTCCAGTTGTAACTAGAATTGCCCTACATTTTTGAAGTGAGAGATTTAAATCTTCTAATGTTCAGTCCATAGATTTTCTGACTTCTCTTGAAAAAAACTTCAAGACACAGCAGTAATCAGTTAGAGCCGTATGCTTTATTTTTACTTTTTAAAATTTTTTTACCAACATTTCCTACGGCCCCCGCCCCCATCCCACACCACGCAAACTGCAGATTCACTAGACATTTATCATTTTGACACTGGCCTGATTCAGTCTCTCATGGTACCTGCCCACCCCCTGTAGTATTTAAGTTTGCTGGCTCTGCCACTGCTGTTTATAAAAAATGGTCAATTGACTTTACAAGGGATCTGTGATAGAATAAAAGTTTCCTCCTTCCTTCTAGTATGATAATCCATAGTGTTAAACAGAAGCAAAGTCAGTGAAAAAGCTAGAAGAAAAAGATGATGACATAATAATCAGGAATGAATGCAGGATGCAAAATAATAAAAATTACTTGTTTCATGGTCTCCTTAAGGAGCCCATCATTTACTTACCAAATTGATATCTGCTACTTGTCCTGTGCAGTCAGCTCGTCCAACACCAATGTGATAACCACTGAAGTTCTGAAACAGAGGTGGCTCCGGAGAGCGTGTCACTGAGGAAGCATGGGTGGCCGTGGGGCCCTGGGTGGTTGGAGAAATATGGCTTCCTGAATCTAAAACAGAGTAAGATTTTTGAGAAACAAGATTTCAGCCCACTTATTTGTCAGCATCAATCAGAATACAGTACATAGGATGGGGTTCCTAAAGGAAAAGTCTCTGTATATTTTCTTATATATAAGATATACAGTGAGATATATGTTAGAAACCTGTTTGAAATCATAATCC